ATGAGCTTGGATCATAACTCTTTTCCTCCACCAGCAGTTATGATGCTGTTGGCTCAGCCGTGGATGAAACTGCAGTTTTGAACCTCCCATCCTCCCAGAAAACGCCCTAACCATGCAGCAATGAGCTGGACAGGGCTCTGGCCAGCAAAACAGGTGGTTTATGGGCCAAAAAAAATACCAGAAAGGAGGAACCAGGCATTTCAGCTCAACTACCAATACCCTGTCTGGCCAGGGAAGCACTGCTCCAAGCACTCCTCCAGAAGTTCCCCATTTTCCAGTAGCCCTTGTGGGATGCCTGTCTGTAACCAGGGGCTCAGCTGAACTCCCTGATGGGGTCAACATCAATACAAGCACTTTTTTTATCCAGAAAAATTAATTCCTTCTGTAAGGCTGTGGCTCTGCCTATTTCTCTATCCTCCCTATTTTGTATTTCCCTTGTTTGTACCTAAATTCTCTGGTGGAACTCCTGGGCTTTGAAAATGAGTCTTTCTTGATCCACTACTGAGCCAGCTGTAATCCAACCACTATCCCTGCCCAGCCTGGGTTGCAAAGATCAGGCAAGAGCATTTTTAGGATGCCAGGAAGAAGTTTCTGTGCCCTGAAGGGTGATCCTGATCCCAGCAGGCTGCAGGGCAAGGATTAAAGGACAAAAAAGACAGACAAAGAAAACTGCAGGAAGTTTGAGGCAAGCGCAGGGCAGACACATTGCTAACAGGTTTCATAGTGTTTTCTTAATTTTTTTTTTTAATTCCTGCACAGAAAAAAACATGGAAAATAAAAAGCTTAATTCTTGGCCCTACTTGTACTTTTCCATGCAATTTCAGCCAAACCACTGAACTTCTCTGCCTTTCCTGTCAACCAGGCTGCAAACAGCATTTCATAAACACTGGACACAGCTATGGGGCACCATCCAAAATGCCAAACCAGGGCTCAGAAACCCCACAGACCACCAAGTGTTTGGGATGGTGCCTGCAACTGCTCAGATCAGAGCCATCATATGTGTCTGGAACAACTTCCAGAACCCCTAAATTTGATCATCAACCCATCTTGGAATTAACTGGGGATTTAAAAACTGAAATCAGTAATTGTCAAATGAATATAAGGAATTATGTGGAGAATAATTACATTGCACGAGGCACCCTGGCCAGCTGAGCTTTACATTCTCTGTTACTATTCCCGTCCTGTGCTTTTCTGCACAGGGCAGCAAAATCTGCACAGCAAAAAGTGGGTGTGCAACAAACCCCCTGTGACAACTGCGCAGCTTTTGAAGCAGCTGCTTCCAAAAGTACCTCCCAGACAAGGCCCAGACCCTTGGTCAGCCCCAGGTTTTTCCTCCTCCCTCCAGCCTTTGTCCAGTGCCAGCCTTGGCAGTGCCAGGACACATTCCCAGGGTGTCACACGTGGCACACTGCCTGGCCCTGTGTTTAACAGTCTGCTGGCCAGGAGGCTCAGCCCAGAGACCCAGTTTGGGGGGGGGAATGTGGTGCGGAGGGGGGATGTGGTACAGCCAGCTGGGACGTGAAAAGCCCCACGTCCTGCTGCACGGGGTGGGGCTGAGCTGAGCCAGTCCAGTCATCTCCTGATGGGAGAGGGAGTGTGTCCCAGCAGCTCCACTAGAGAAAAATGGAGTTTGGGAGTACTGCATGTGCTCAGCTCTGGTATTGCGGGGCATCACACCCACCAGCATTTGGGGAGACCTGAAACTGGGGGGGCCACTGCACCCACTAAGCTCCCAGGGATCCCCAGTGTCGGGGTGGCATTGTACCCACCACCTCCCAAGGAGGAGCATTACCCCCACCATGTCCAGGGGATTCCCGGTATCAGGAACCAGCTGTGCCCACCCCTCCCGAGCATCCCCAGCGTTGGGGTGGCACCCCACCCACCACGCCCCAAAGACCCCCAGTGCCGGGGGTGCCCTCCCCGGCCCCCCGGTGTCCCCCCGCTCACCGCAGCTCTCCATCCAGCGCCTGGATGACGGCGGCGAAGCTGCGGCTGGTCTGGTTGAGGTAGCGGTAGCAGGTGCGGAGGCCGCATCCCAGCGAGTCCTGCGGGCAGAGCGGGGCCGCGGTTCGGAGGCGGGGGGCGGCGGGCGGCGGGGCCGCGGCCGCTCCGCCCCGCGCCCGAAACCCGCCCCTTAACCCGCCCCGTCCCGGAGACGCTGCCATGTACGGACAGCGCCGGGGCAGTGCGATGTCCAGAGCACCGGGGATGCGGGCAGGGTACCGGCACCGAGCCATGCAAGGGATGCTCGGAGCTGGTGGGATGAATGCGGGTACGGGCACCGAGCGATGCAAGGGATGGCCGGAGCCGCGGGATGCTCCGGTAGCACCGGGGCTTTGCGATGTTGGGCATTGGTCCCGGCACGGAGCAACGCAAGGGGATGCCCGGAGCCGGTGGGAAGCTCGCAAGGTACTGGCACCGGGCAACGCAGGGATGCTTGGAGCCGGTGGAATGCACCAATGCACAGGATGCCCGGAACCGGTGGAATGCCCGGAACCGATGCACACACAAGCAATGCGATAGGATGCCCGGAGCCGGTACAGCCGGGAAGCACCGAAGCGCACAAAGCCGGGAAAAGTCCTATACACGCTGGATATGGGATGGCAACACCGTATCCGTGTCCGGACATGAGAGTGCCCCCCACCACCTCCTCCTCACGTGCCCCGCTCCCCGCCGGGAGCACCGCGCACCGGCGACAGCGAAGCGCTTCCCGCCGCCCGCGCATCCCTCGCCGCTCACCGTGTCCATCCGCGGCATGACGGCGCGGTAGCCGCCCATCTTGAAGCGGAGCAGGTTGTAGATGTCCTCGGGGTGGCCCAGCCATTTCCGCAGCAGCTCCATGGGGGCCGCGATCAGACCCCAGCGCCGCCGCCGCGCGCTCCCGCCGCCCCCTCCCACCCGCCGCTTAACCGGGCACGGGCGGGGCCGCTTCAGCCCCGCCCCGCAGCCAATCACAGCGCTCCGCACATCGCTCGGTGGGGCGGGCGCGGCGCCGATTGGCGAAGGCGCGCTCGCACCAGGGCAGCGCCAGCCAGTAGGGAGGCGGCGCGGCTGGTGTGACGGCCGGCGGCGGGCGCTGATTGGCGGAGGCGCGCGTCGGCACAGGCGGAGCGGGAAGGAGTCGGCGGCCCCGAACCCCCTCGTGTGAGCGTGAGGGGAGCGGAGCCGCCATGGAAGCACGGGAGGGTTGGCGTGGGAAAGGAGCGTGAACACCTTCCAGTTCCAACCCCCTGCCGTGGCAGGGACACCTTCCACTATCCCAGGTTGCTACAAGCCCCGTCCAACCTGGCCTTGGACACTTCCAGGGGTGGAGAAGCCACAGCTTCTCTGGGAATTCCACCCCACCCCCATCTCCTCCTCACAGGGAAGAATTCGTTCCCAGTACCCCATCTAACCCCGTGCTCTGGCAGTGGGAAGCCATTCCCCCTTGTCCAAAGGCCCTTTCCAGCCCTTCTGAGCCCCTTTAGGCACTGAAAGGGGCTCTGAGGTCTCTCTGGAGCCTTCTCCAAGCAGGACACCCCCAGCTCTGAGCCTGTCTCCACAGCAGAGGGGCTCCAGCACCCTCCATGGCCTCCTCTGGACTTGCTTCCATAGTCCAAACCTTTCCTGTGCTGAGAACCCAACACATACCCAGCTCCATCCTCATCCTTCAAAGTGCAAGATTCGGCTTTTGAGGTTCTTTTTTCGTGAGTGGTTTTCTTCCAGAAGTTGGGCTTTGATCATCATCGTGGGCCCCTTCCAGCTCAGGATATTCTGTGATTCTTTGTTTTGGCCAACACCCTGCAGAAGGGACATTAACCACCTTCTTTGGCCCCATAACGCCATTAATTGGTTAATTCAGCAATCCCATAATCTGCAACCACTCAAAGGTGTTGCAGTTCACATGGGAGAGGCTGTGCAAGTCTTGCCTAGGAAGCAGCTGCCTAAACAGATGTGTTTACCTCCAGCATTCCCAGCTGATTTGCAATCCATCTTCAAATCCAGTTCCCATTAATGAGACCACTTACACAGCCAAGGAAAGTCACTGGTACCACTCTGTAGAGGCAGCACCAAAGAGGTAGCTGTTAAACAATTCCAGGCAGCTGGAATTTCCATGTACAGCCCAGTTTTTAACCAAGAAACTACCAAAAGGACACACTTGAGATGAACATCACTGATTCTAATTCCAGCTTTTTTTTTTTTTTTTTTTTTTTGCTCAAGTAAACAACTTATTATTAAAATAAACTCAAATCCAGGGAGAGAGGACAGCAGCAGTTCCCACCTAGTATACAGCGACACAGCTCTATTTCCAAACCTTCCTGCTTTCAGGTTTCCTTGGAGATCCTGAGTTTTATGCAACACTGCCACACACTGTAATTTTTTTTTAATTTTTACAGTGTGATCTAGAATTGGCAGTTTGCCACAAAGCTGAAACCTGTGGGTGCAGAGATGAGCTCCACCGAGCACTGCTGACATACATTTTGTATATGTCGATGTGGAAGGAGAGAGCTGTTCCTGTCAGAGCTGACACAGGGAACAGCCCCTCATGTTTAACCATACCAAATCACAGCCCAGCACACAGGTATTCAGCTCCAAACAGAGGCAGGATTATTTAATTCCTAATTAATCAAGCTGCTTAGGCAGAGGGATATCCTCTGTTTTGCTGACTCCTCCGGGGTCAAGTGACAGGGTCACTTCAGACCACAGCAATCCCCTGCTCAACCTTCTACACTTCCCATCCACTTCCACCTGAACGGGGTGACCAATGCACCTCAAACCTGGTCAAACTCTTTACACTGTGGTGCCATTGTGACAAATTAAAAAAATATGGACAGCCACTTTTTCCTTTCTGCAGCCACTCTGGGGACCTGGCACCTCCACTGAGCACTTAACTCTGACAAGTCCCTAACTTGGACCTAACAAGTCCCTAACAAGGACCAAACTCAACAGCCTAAAAGAAACCACAGAGACCTTCTAGGACAATAAAGAGCAGGGATCAAGAGACCACCCAGCAGGACAGGTCACTCAGTGACTGGGGAAGGGTCCCCATCCCCTGGCAGCACTGCAGGCTGGCACTGAGGGCACCACCACGTCAGTCTCTTGAAGCCACCTGAGGGTCCAAAAGTGCCCTTCCTCAGGGGATGCCCAAGGGGACACTGCTCCTTCTGGTACACCTGGGGGTGCAGCCCTTGGCCACGCAGTTTGTTGTGCAGCCACTCAGAGCTGAACTGAACGGCGCAGTCCAGCAGACGCTCCAGATCCGAGAGAGCCAAGAGGGAGCCTGGTGTTAACGGGTGGATCCTGGCCAGGTACAAGATCTCATTCTTAATGATGTTCCCTGGAAGGGGTTGAAAACAAAGAGACACTAAGGATATTTCTCATCAAGGTAATGCAGGCTGCTGGCTCCAACCTGTGATTCCTGCCTCAAGGATCACAGCCAGCAACACCATTCCCTGTACCAGAGGTGGCATCCAAAGAGTAGACTTAGAGCTGGGATCGGACTGGAAGAGGTTCTCTTCCCTCTGCCATTGTTACACACTTTGAGGATGACCACACGTCCTCAGCTGGATCAACCAGAAGCACTTAAACTAAAGAGAAAACTGCCCAGACATGCACTTCTGCATCTGTAGACATCCCACCCACCTTCCTCCATTTCTCCTTCTGCCCCTATTCCCTGGAACTCACCCAGCCCTGAAAAATATCTTTGGTCTAGAAGAGTGTAGCAGATGGGATCGGGTGCACAGAGGGCACGCAGCGCCCGGCCACGGTGGAATTCCACAGACAGGATGTCAGAAGCAGGATCAGCCCTCGGAGAGGAGCACCAGAGCATCCGGCAGTTGTAGAAAACAAGGAAGCCTCCACTCTCAAAATGCAGAACCAGCCTGGGAGAAGCAGGGAAGTTGAAGTCTCTCATCAGAAACATCTCTGAACTACTTTTTATACTCTGCAGGTGCCCACTGTCTCAAGGCAAGGTGGCATCTTTAACAACGGCAGCCATGAAGCTCGGTGGTAAACCCACACAGCTGGTGAAAAGTTTGTCCTTCTGCTGCCCTGTGACCCTGATTGACAAAGCCTTCAGCAGGACAGTCCACAAATCAGAGAAAGGAATGCTAAAAGTAGCACAAAAAACTGTGTCTAAAAATACTTGTATAGAAATAAAGTCATCCTTCAAAAAAATCACAGAATCATAAAATGGTTTGGAAGAGAACCCGAAGATCATCTTGGGCCACCCTCTGCCATGGGCAGGGCCACCTTCCCCTACCCCAAGCCCTGTCCAGCCTGGCCTTGGACACTTCCAGGGATGGGGCAGCCGCAGCTTCTCTGGGAAGCTGCTCCTCCTTGCTCTGTACAATTCCAGTGGGATATAGGACACAAACCATAGCCATGTTTTCAATTCACTGCTGCCTTTTACAGCATCACTTCACTCTGTGAATCCAGGTGAAAGAGACATTTGTTATTTATCCAAGGCTTTTTAAAAAACACGTAACTGGGAGAAACTGGCACTTTTAGGGCATGATTCAGCCTGGCGTCCTAAAACTTCTCTCTTCAAGATAAAAATCTTAGCAGAGCTGGTACTATAATCCCCAGACAACTGCATCCTACAATTCCACTGTGGATTCTCTGGTTGAACACACCCCACATTCACTCATGCCTTAAAAATTATCAGAGAAAATCAAGGCTAAGAGCATTCCCACACAGATTTGGTGTGGGAGAAAAGAGGAAATACCTGGGCACAGGATCCTTCCAGTCCCCCCTTTTATTGGCTCTGCTTGCCCTTGAGAACTCATTTGCCCGGACGCTGCCGAACATGCCAAAGTGGATGCGCAGCCAATTGCCCCGACCCTCTGCTGCCTCTGGGCCTTCAGATCTTGAGTGCTGGGCTTCCTGCAGCTCCTCATCCTGGGAATGGGAATGCGGAGTATCATCCTGTCCTTGCTGTCCCTGGGCAGGACAGTGTGCCCCACAAGCAGCCTCGCTTTGCAGCGCTGTCTCTTCTGCAGTTGATCCAACAGGACCTTCAGCTGCCACAAATGCCAGGTACAAGTTCTTCCCATGAACCTGAGAAAAGAAGTGGGATGTGATCAATAAAGGATCATAACATTCTAGAAAGGCTTGGGTTCAAATGGACCTTAAAGCTCATCTCATTCCAAACCCCCACCCATGGGCAAGGACAACCTCCACTAGACCAGGTTGCTCAGCCCTCATCCAATTTGATTTTGAACACTTCCAGGGATAAAACCTCTGTCTCTTTCCATACAAGGGACTTATTTTCCACAACCTCTATTAGAGGGCACATCAGCCCACCCTGAACATGGGATTCATCAGCATCCACGCCATTCCATCAGAGCTGGGGTCATCCTTGCAGATTCCTTTCTTTGCCTGCCTGAAGCAGAAGGTGTTTAGACGCCATTCAATTCTGAATCCCTCACAGAGATTCCCATTAGGCCCACCAGGACAGACACTCAGGGGTTTGAAATTTGTCATCATTGCTTCTAATTCATCTTCCCACTTTGTGCTGGGCACATTTTGTGCTTTTAATTTTGCTCCGCACCTTTAATCAGAGGTGAGGCTGCACTAGGGTTTGACCAGTCAGGTCCAAATCATCATCTGGGGGTGTCAGGCTAGTGAAGCCCCAGCAGGACCAATCCAGTGTGACTTCTGACAAGTACCCACAGCACAGACATCTCAACTTAGCCAGGTGAAACCCTGTGGGAAACATTCACAGGTTCTGCACCTTCTCTCACCCAGGTGCAGGACAGTGGTGATTTCTGCCCTCAGACTTGTCATGGATCTGTAAATTCAACGCACCTGGGAGTCCTGGAGCCTCAGGGCATTCAGGTCATTCACACTGAGCTTCCGGCTGCTTCCCCCCACCTTGGCCACCACTTGTCCCACAAAAGGGGAGGTCAGCAGCTGGAACTTCCTCACTGACGGGCCCTCTGGCATCTCCAGCAGCTGCAGAGGGATTAGCAGGTCCTTGTCACACTCTGCCCTAGACTTGAAGGGAAGCTGCAATTCAGAAATACACAAAATATTCTCCTAATTTTCCTCAAGTTCCTGTGGAAAAGTCCATGAAGATAAATAGGACCAGGATGGTGGAGGAGCTTCCATCCTAGCAGATATATATAATTTAATCCAACACAGCCCTGAATAACATATTCCAATTGCAGTTTTCACACTGCAAACAGGAATTTGGCCTGGGGAATCTCCCAAAGTCCTTTTTTTCCTGGGGCAGTGGGAGGTTTCCCTGCCCACATCACAGGGGTTGGAAGCAGATGATCTTTAAGGTCCCTTCAACCCATTCCATTCTGTAATTTTATGATTAGTGACCCAGTACCAGCACAGGCCAGTGACCCATCTTTTTCCTCTATACACCCCGGCAGGTGCTGCTCCAATGGAAAGATCAGCCCTGGAATTAGAACATCCCCACCCCTGGCTTTGCCCACTGCTTGCCCCACTGACTGCAGTGGTATGGAACCAGTTGGGGAGCATTCCTACACTCTGCTAACAGCATCTGGGAGCAGAAGGGATGAGGGGGAGATGAGGCAGCACCATCCTGCAGCTCCTTCCAGGAAGCCACACCAATACATAAGGAGTTATTTCTGGCATGAAGCCCCAGTCACTTGCAGTTCTTCTGAGGACTTCTGCTGGCTGTGGCTGTACAAGGAAGGCTCAGCTTGGCTTTCATCCCACAGCACCAGTTCTCCCTGCAGACTAATCCCAGAGACCAGCACTGATCAGAGGCTCAGCTTCAAGCTCCACAGCACTCGGTACAGGGCTCTGAGGCACCTGGAACAGCTCTGAGACAGCCTGATGAGAAAATCAGCAGCAACCCTGGAGTCCCCCACCACAAGAGCCATTCCCACCTCATGCCAGCCTTTCCTGTGCTGCAGCACAAACCAAATCCCTTTTGGAAGGGTACAAGAGGAAAACATGTTAGGGAACATAAATTAATGTCTTAGATCCGTGTACAGATATTAAGTGGTCATCAAAACTAGATTTAGCAGCGTAAGAGACTAAGCTTTAGTCCTCTGCCTTCAAGGGCATGTGATGATTATTCACAGGCCTGCTCTAGTTTTATTCAAAAAATCTTCATATTATGTTGATCATAAGACAGCTAAAGGATGCTTCTGCTGCCAAAGGCACCAGCAGCAGTTTGGATCCCTGGAAACAGCTGGGCACAGGCCATTCAAGAAAGTCTGCCCTGATTTTCCAGGCACTGGTTTCATGTCAGGCAGCACAGATTGAGCACCAGGACAGCCCTGGGAGCCCAGAGCTCACATCCCAAGGAACTTCATCACCTGCAGAGCTCTGACTGCTGCTAAGTCAGCTCTTCACAGCTCCTTGTGAGAGACTGGAAGTGCCAGCAGCTTTGTAAGGTATTAATGCTCACACTGCCCCAGCTGTAGCCTGTCTGACAGCAAAGGAACACTCCTTTAGAGGGAAACTGCCCTGTTCCCCAGCACATCAGAACCACCAGCATCTGCCATCCTTATCCCATGTACCTGATTCCCTTATCTCCATGTACCTCCTTATTTCATGCTTTTTACTACAGACCCACTTCAGTCTCATCCAAAGCACTCCCCTCTCCAAGGAGGAAGGGAAGGAAAACCATCCCCAGCCCTCTGCAGGGCATGACACCCATCTCACCATGAGCATGGTACTGAGCTGGTACCTCTGCAGGTCTGGGACAGGGAACCAGGCCTCCAGGACAAATCCTCCCCTTGTATGGGCTCATTCCCAGTCCTTGAGGCCAGACAAAAGCCCAGCACCCACAGCAGAACAGAGCAAGGACAAGGCTCATGCAATTCACCCCAGCTCTGCCTGCACCCAGGGATTGCAGGAAGGTTCCCTGTGATCTTACACCCCTGGGCAAGGCACCTGCAGGGACTTCAAGGCACAGCTCTGACCCTCCACACGCAGCTGGGGTGCAGAGCGCTCCATCTTCTCACATTCAGCCAAGTATCAGTTTGCAGCCATCCTCAGAAAACAGGCACTGAGTTCCTACCCTGTTCTCACCCACATCGTCCCAGGGCAATGAAAGCACCCACTGCTTTTCCCCCAAGCCCCCACATTCCTGCATCCATCTCTCATCCACTGCTCTCCCCAGGCCCACCCTGCGCATCCATTTGGGGAGCAGCCTAGGCAGCCTTCCCCCTGCAGTCAGGGGGCGCAGAGCGCTCCATCTTCTCACATTCAGCCAAGTATCAGTTTGCAGCCATCCTCAGAAAACAGGCACTGAGTTCCTACCCTGTTCTCACCCACATCATCCCAGGGCAATGAAGGCACCCACTGCTTTTCCCCCAAGCCCCACATTCCTGCATCCACCTCTCATCCACTGCTCTCCCCACGCCCACCCTGCGCATCCATTTGGGGAGCAGCCTAGGCAGCCTTCCCCCCCTGTTCCTCACAGCCCTTCCTCTGCCCTCAGCCACCTCCCACAGCACCTTCACACACCCTCAGCAGGACTGCACACAAATCTCTTCCACCCACCTCTTTTTATAAGGGAGGAAGATCCTCCCTCCCCTCCCCAAAAAGCAGGGGAGCTCCCCAGTTGGCTGCTGGAGGAGGGGTGGGCGGGTTCCAGGTGTTGGCCTCACTCACCCCACCAGCTGTACCGGTTTGTAAGCCGGTTGGACTGGGAAGGAAGCGGGGCAGTACCTGGCAGGGTGATTGGATACTCAGAGCAGGGCTGTGCCCCTGCAGAGTGGGAGGTGGCTCAGCACAGCCCTGGCTGACAGCCTGATTTCGGCTGGAAGCATTCAGGCTAAACAAGGCCTACCAAGTAAAACTCAGTGAGAAGACCAAAAAGCTAAGTCATGATGGTTTTTAAGTGCCCCCAAGGGCTTTTCCCCTCTCTGCTGTGTTTGGGGGCTTTTCCTTATGTACTGAGGCTTTTCCTCGTTTATATTAAAATCATAGTCACAGACTGATTTGGGTTGGAAGGGACCTTTAGAGATCATCCAGTTCCACCTCTCTGCCATGGGCAGGGATACTTTCTACTAGACCAGGTTGCTCCAAGCCCTGTCCAGCCTGGCTTTGAGTTGCTCCAAGCTGGGTCTGTCACCTCTGAGTTCTTCATCCTGTGTTGGCCATTCCAAATCTTATGTATAGGAGGGGGCCCTGTGTGGCTCTGGGGCTTGGGGATAACATTGATTTTCCTGCAATAACTCATTGCTTGGGAATTCCCAGGTCTAGGCAATTAATTTACCAAAGATTTTTATCATTAATAATCTTAATATTTATTAAATAGGAATTTTATATAGGACAAGAAGTAATGGGTGCAAGTTGAAGGAGGGGAAATTTAGATTAGATATTAGGAAAAAATTATTAACTTTGAGGGTGGTGAGACACTGGAACAGGCTGCCAAAGGTGGTTGTGACTGCCCCATTCCTGGAAGTGTCAAAGGCCAGGTTCAATAAGACCTTGAACAGCCTGGTCTAGTGGAAGGTGCCCCTGCCCATGGCAGGGGGTGGGACTAGATGAGCTCTAAGGTTCCTTCCAACTCCTTAACATTCTGTGATTTGGGAAAACATTTCCACCATGAGGGTGGTCAGACACTGAACAGGAACCCAGAGAGGTGGTGAGATTTCCCTCTTGGGATATGTTCAAAACTTGACTGAACAGGTCTCTGAGAAAACTGATCTCATCTTTTCTGACTTTAAATTCCCTGTAATTTTTATATTGTGACCTCTCTGGGACAGGACCCACTTCACCATTTCTTCTCTGGGTGCATTTCATGTTTTCAGTATTTGATCATTTACCCCCTGCCTTCTCCAATAAGCCTACAAGGGTAGACAAGCAGAAAAGAATCAAGCAGAAACCTTCTGGTTTTATTATCATTGTTTTATTTCCATTAGTTCTAAAGGTGTAGAAGTTACGTGGATTGGTAGCCATACTACTTCATAATAGATATTTTTTTACATCTTTAAATAATTACAGCTTGTTCAGTTGGTTGGTTTCCCTCTCCCCCTTACAAATAAGTGTCTGTTTCTGTGAGACCTTCCCAGAAGACCTGGGAAGCTTCAAACTTTATACATGGGGAGAAAAAAAAAAAAAAAAAAGGCAAAACAAAACACCACCCCTGACTTAGTCACAGCTTCAATGTTACATTGAGAGTTGTTGGTTGGTTTTAAAGCTCCCTTGCAATATTCCTGAGCTCCTCCTGGTTGCACCCTCTCCATCCAAGCCCATAAGATTGCAAGTGATCTGTGGATCTTGTCCGATCGATTTACAAAGAATATCTGAAGTGAATCAAGATACTGCACTTGCACAAAGAGCAAAGACATTTAGAAGTGGTTAAATGACCTTCCTTGGCTCCCTGTCCTGGTTCTCATCTGCCCATCTCACTTCAGTGGCCACTTGGCCAGTGCCGAGGTCTGGTTTGACATGCCCAAACCTTGTGCTATAAACCCTTCAGCATCCAAATTTTCCTGATTAGGGATGATCTCAAGGGGAACACATCCCACAAATGCAGTTTTAAATGTGCTGAGGTGTTCTGAGGAGTGGGCCCTTCCCTCTTGCTCCTCAGAGAAGGGATAGTTCTCAGTCCTGCATTTGTGTAGAACCTGGTATGGATCTCATTAGGTTCTCCAACAATAAAAGCAGTAACAAAACCAATAATTACTTTGTCTTAATAGGTCTCTAATAATTGTATCTAATTCATTACCAAAGCAGGCTCTAACTGCCTCCCCCATCACAGGCAGGAAAGCAGAGCTCAGGTGGAACCTGTAGTTTTGTAATTGGCTCCTCTTGCTGGAAGGAGCTGAGTGTCCTGACAGTGGCAGCACTTTAATCCTCTTGTCCTGTGAGTATCCCTTGGTCTGTCACCTCTGGAGTTTGCCATCCTGCTTTAGCCAACCCTGCAAGACATGGCTCTGAGTGATTCCTGGCCTTGGAGACCACGTTCAGCTCCCACAATGACTCCTTACATGGGAATCCCCAAATGTGAGTAATTAATTAGCCAGTGATTCTTGGGAAAACATTTCCAGCATTAGAGCGGTCAAACAGTGGACTAGGTACCCAGAAAGGTGGTGGGATTTCCATCCTTGGGAATATTCAGAAGTTGCCTGAATAAGGCCTTGAGAGACTTGATCTTGTCCCTTCTGAGTTAAATTATTCTGTAATTTGATCTTCAGAAGCCCTGAAGAAAGGGACCTATCAATTATGGTGTGTTTGTACCCCTCCTGAAATGGTGATGCTGCATCTGAGGTCAGTCTCTCACCATCCTGATATAAGCACTGGCTTGAAAAAGACAAAACCTCCTGGGCCACTAGCAGCTCTACAACAATTTTGGGTGATTGAAAAGAACCACAGAGCCTGGTGTATCCAAACTTCTGTTTCTGGTGCAGAAAGGGGAACAAAAAATCTAATTTCTTCCCCTAAAGAGTTGTCCTCTACCCCTAAAGCTGTCCTCACAGCCCCCAGAGCTTTGCCTGTTATCAGGGACTTGTAAATGCTCCTCACTCTGTTTCAAGAATTGTTTTTCAGGCTTTGAGGAAGGCTAAAATCCAGTTAATAAATCTCTATCAAGGGGACATAAGGCAGATATGTTCTGCAGGGATTTTTCCTTCTGGCATTATAAAAGCAGAGTTCTTTCTGGCATCTCTGAATGGGTTTTAAGGGCAGGAGAAAAATCCCACCAGGGAATTTGGCTTTGAGGGAAGGAGGAGGAGCACAGCAATAGGGAAGGGAAGGTAGAGCCAGTGTGAGCCTCCAGATGGAAGGAGAAATGGGGGTGTGGTTGGTCTGGATTTTTAATCCTCATCAGGAGGCTCCACTCCCTCTTGGGGCTTTCCAGGGTAGTTCTGGATGTCTCAGAAGTTGGCATGAGCTACGTGGCATTTTGTGGTGCAGGCTG